CAAAAATGTTGAACATCATGACGGCCAACATGTAGCAATGTGGCAAGTACAGAGTGAGTCTGGCTTCCACCATTAAGCATAGCTTCATCGGCATGAAGCAACGCGTAAGGCCGCCTCCCCCTGCCATTAGTACACCCAAGAAAAGTAAAAGAAAACAACCTGTGAACCCAAGGTGCACACTCATGGCAGTTTGAGTGAATAGTAGCCGCTTTTGACTGTAGTTTCTATTCATTCATCAATCATCATCAATCCAGGATTCAGGATTTGGAAACCAGGCCAATGACACGGTACGCCAAACTGGTGCTACACCTCCTCTTGCCTCCAGTGGTTTCTTCCGCCCAGAACAATCCCAGCCGCCCACTCCGAACGCCGTTCCTCTGCTTCGGCTGGTTCGGGAGAACGCATGGATCTGGAAGACGAAAAAGGACCCCTTCGATCCACATCCAAGTGTTGAGGATGGTCCAGGTGTTGAGGATACTTTTGATTTATGGGGATTCCCGCATAAAGTCGCCGTGCCAGGCACTTCGCCTGCACCAATGGAACGGAAGGTCCTCGTGAGGTTCGGTGGTGATGGCCGCAGCCCAAGAAGCGGGAAGCCTTGGCAAGCGCCCAGAGCCGACCAGGGCGGCGAAGACCCTCAAATGCGAAAATCCCAACTGTTGGGAGTGCATGTATCATTATATAGCGCTATATATGCAAGATCCTTTCAGCAGAAATTCTTGTACCAGGTGCCTCTAGGTATATATAAAAATATTATGGTGAAACAACATGGTGAGACGGCGACTTGCAATGCCAACGTCGCCCATGAGCGCAAAAATTATTTTCGGTGGTCGGTGGATGGAAGTTGGTCTAAAATAACTCCCTCCAACGTTTGGTGCGTGGCTGGAACAAAAAAGCATTCCAAAAACCAGCCAAACTTGTCTGCATTATCTATCGCTCCATGAACCAGCAGCAACCCCAGGGTGAGGTACGAAGTTAACAGGAAGCAGGCCCGTCTGCTGCACATCTTCTTTCACGCGAGCACAGTCAATTTATGCCAAAAGCTCCTCTGCACCGCTGCTATTAAGCATGCAGTGCAGCGGCAATTCTCCGCCGCTTGGCTGGCACCACCTCTTTGGGTACGGGATGGGTGTGTATTTTCATAGGGAGACCCCCGTGGCCCAATGGATTCTTGGTGTGCTTCTCTTCTTCCAAAAACTCCGAACGCCGCCGGGTGGTCTCCCTAGGAAGGAGCGACTACCTCTCTCCAGCGACCTTCGACCGGGTGGCACCTTAGGCGTCACTCACCCGGATCGCCACCTTTCCATGCGCATGGCGACTCTTCTGGATCTCAAAGGCCTGGAGAGAGGGCGGCCCGGAGGTTTTTCTGGGACAGGAGAGGGCCTGTATGGTTCAAGGAAGATTCCCAACAGCTCAAGCAAAAGATTAAGGGGAAAGACTTGGGCTTCACCAGCAGGGTGCCAATCGCAAAGAAAGATAAGCTCAATTAGAAGATTGATCCCATTCTCTAATTTATTCAAAGAAGGACCTGATCCATGCCAAACTCAGCTGGAGCAGGATGTTACGTTCTGCAGGTGACCAGGAGAGGTGACCAGGCTGCGAAAAGGTTACTTTCACGCTCTCTGGGGATGTCTCACTCTCACCGGTGACCGGTCGCTCTGGTGTGTCCGTGCACAACCAAAAAACCGCCTTTAGATGCTGCAGCATCTGGTGAATCTGTTGTTTTTCGCGTCTGGTGGTGTTTTGCCACACTTCTGGAGGGAGTGGATATTCCCCCCGCTTGCGACCCACTAAGAATCGCCATCCCCTGCGATGCCCATCTACCTTTAAATGTCCAACCTGACCTCCCCGGCCATGCATCGTCATCGCGCACCAGTCACCCAGGGTGAAACTAGTCCGCGAGGTCCTGCCAGTAGATCATTACATGGGTCTGGCAAATTCCCCTTGAACATCCTTGAACCCCATCGATCGGCAAGCCATCGAACTCCATTCAACCCACCAAATGAGTGATGAGCCAAAACAACCTGGAGCCCGCAAGATCCCGCCAGAGCGCGACGCACGACCTAAGCCTGGGTCAAACCGGTCAAGTGGTCCGTCCACTGGTCGGTACCCAGATCCGAGACCTGGAGGGGCCTCCTAGGGCCATTTGCTCCGCAAACCCATCAGATTCTCCTCAACCCCACCGCCACACCGCGCCGCTGCACCACGGTGCACCCCTCGCACGGCTCCTTCTGCACGCTGCTCGCATCGAAGGCGTGGAGCGAATCCAGCACCACTCGCAGCTCCTGGGTCTGGTCTCGCACCCCAAGGGCGGGTATGGGGCCAAGGGCCAAACAGTGCAAAGCTGGGTGAAGGAGTCATACCAGGCACTGCAGAAGTCACATGGAGTTGGGTTGCTTTTGTTCGTCCCATGGAGTTGGTGGATGTGACAGAGGCACTCCGACTTCCTCCCAGTTCGGCACCCCGTCGAGTGCCGTGACTCCTGGTAGTGCTGTGTAGTGAGGGTTACCAAGGGGTTTTGCAGGGCTTGAGACCTGAAGCTGCCACCTCTTTCCATTTGAGAGTCTGGGTTCTTCAAATCGACGACCCCATGGTGAATCATTTGATTGGATCCAAACCGATCAGCGAACGCCCGAGCTTGACTTTCGCCTTGTTGATTGGGGATTGCTGGGTTTGGCAACTGGGCCAATCAGCTAATTAATCCCAAACACTATCCCAAACGCATCCATGGTCAAGAAAAAGAAATGGCGACAAACCATCCGAAAGACTTCTCCATCATAACATGCATGCATTGCATACATGTACATGTGGAAAAGACATGAACAAATGCGAACGTCGATCCCCGGAAAGATCCAATGGGTTTTTCACCCGAAAGGCATCCCAAATCGACGTGAACATGACGTGAACGTTGTTCCGGAAGGATAAAGGCTTGGACTCTGAGTCTCTGGGTGAAGGTTTCCACTCAGCTCCAACCACAGCTTGAACAAGACTTGAACCACTCAAGAGGGGAGTCCATGCTTGGTTTGTAGAAATTTTGGAGGCCTATTTTCGTGGAGTCTTTGGGTGCGCTCTCCTCTCCGTGACGAAAAAAACCGATTGCATCAACTCTCACCCTGCGAGGACTGACCCTGCTGGTTCTGTGTGTGGTGTCAAAGTGTCATTTCGCTCCACGAGCTGCAGGAGGCGTTCCAGATGCTTTGCCTCTAAGCCTAGGTGGGTCGAACATAGAAGTCTGGTAGACTCCTGACTCCTGAGTATTATTACATTGACATTACATCTCGCACATTCTTGCACATACTTCATATAAGAGAGAGAGAGAGAGAGACAGAGTCTGAGAGTGAGTGTGAACCAAGGAAGACATGTATGGCCATGCAGCTGCGTCAATTCCCAGCCTAAGGCTCACAAGAAGGCCATCCAAAATCATCCAGACCAACTGCTCAAAGGAAATAGGAAACTACTCTTCCCCTCCACTTCCGAAAGCTAAGCTCTTCATTCCTATTTGACCCACGTCCACATGTTTGCCAGTGACGCCCCCCGGCTGTTCCCCGACCGACCGACCGAACCGAAGCCCTGTGGCAGACCCCACGGGTCTAGCAACCGATGTGGTAGGTCCAAGCCGGCTTGGAGCGAAAGATGGAAGAGGACCAAGCGTGAGCCTGCATGTCATACCTGGGAACGGATCTACCGTGCGCACATCCAGGTGTCCTGTCTGGTGACCTCTAAGCAGTGTAGGCTGGTCCGTTAGGTAACCCCGAACGGAAGCTGGTACAGAAAAGAAAAATACCTGTTGAATCTCGGGGACATCCTCCAACGAAATGGTGAGTACTCAGGTGCTGATGTCTTGCAATTAGTAGAACGTCTAAGAAGACGTCCTAGTTTACAAACGACAGAATTCACCATAAGTCATGATGGGCCATGATGAGTTGCAAGGTGCACCAGTCCCTTGGCACTTTTGGCCTCTCATCCACATCCTTCGGGAGCGGCGAAATCGCCATCGAGTGGATTTCCCCACACCGTCCGCAGGTCACAAGGGTGACAGGTCGAGGTCCAGCCTCACCGTCCAGAAGCCGCGTCGTCGCGTGTGGCTCGTGAATCCCGGCGAGCAGACCCGAGTCCATCTGTGTCCGATGCCTACGGCAGACCATCTACGGCTTGGCCATGCAGGGACCCACGTCGGAAGCGTCTTGGACTCAGGGGTTTGCTGCATCGAAAGCCGATTGTGCCATAGAAAAAATAAAAACAAACTGCGTCCGGTCCCCAGAAAAGCCAGGATGAATCATGTCGAGGTGCATGATCCTGAATGCATGCCACCAATGTTTAAAGGCCTCGCAAGCCACAAGCGGGGCGCTGTTGGTGGAACCGTGCGGGTGCGTCTCGGCTTGAACTCGGGTGTTCATGCCCAATCTGTAAACGACGATGTTTGAGCTGCAATGGTCAAACGTCCTGGACTTCCCAGTCAGCAGCTTTGTGGCTTTGTTCACCGGCTCTATCTCGGTCTATCTCGGGCTCCGCCGGTCTTCCGAGATCGGTCTCATTCACTGTTCCTTCGGAGTGGCACCCAAGAACATGTGGCACCCAGTACCAACGACATCTGGTCTGAATGAATCAGGTATAGGGGTGATTCCGACATTCACCAGAAATACTAAAGAACCCCTGCCGACTAGATCAAGGAAGTTCTTCAGGTGAATGCTTTACCCAACCTCATGATCATGATGTTCTTCACAACATGTGCGCACATGGAGCGATGCCAACCATGGCACCATGAGACAAGCAATATAGGTAGGAAGTGTTGATTGAAATCAGGGGGTAGCGTTGGGAAGTGCTTCAACCTGACGCGGGTTAAGAAGCCTCATCATGGTCTGATACCCTGGATTGGTCGCGCTCGGTCTCCGTTTGATTATAAGGCTTCTTACGTAGCGTCCCACCGCCGACCTCTGGCCGTGGAGACTATGACTCGGATTGGCGTCGCGCAGCAGCATCGTTCGACCCTATGGTCGACCCTAGGAGTCGACCCAACCCAACCGAAGGCCATGGAGTCGGACCATGTAAGGCGTATCTCCCACCATCGTCACATATCTGCCACCTGGAGCCGCGCAGCATCCCGTCCCGTCGAGACGGGGTCAGTAAGGGCAGCCGAGAGAAACGGACAACGGGTGAACACCTGGACAACGGGTGAACGGTCAGTTCAAACACCCGACGGGACGGGAGAGATCGTTTGTGGGAAGCGCTTTTGATATCGGACTGGTATATTTACCGATCAGGCCAGGGGTGGTGCCAGGGGGGTCAATGTAGGCATATATTCCTTACATGGAGTGTATGGGTCACACTCTTCCCCTAGCACTCAAACGTGCAATCATCCAAGGATGGAGACGGCCATCCTTGAAGAATGGAATGGCCAACCTGAAAACGACAGAAAGAACGGAATGCTGAGTTTGCCCAGCAGCTCTGGTCATAGATTGATTCATTCGAGATGCGAGAAAAAAAGTGGTAAGATCTGGTAAGTCAGTGAATAGACTGAAAGGAATCTGGTCTATATATTCCATTCGTTCTTGCCCCACCCTTTGGGTCTAACATGACCGAGCACGACCTCGCGTGACATGTGAGCTACGGTATTGTTTTTTCCTGAAGTAAGACTGTGGAATAGCCCTGCATAAAACATTTAAACATGATAAATAACTATAAAACATAATCCACTCAGGAACGTATATATAAAACACATCACAGGACATGTCACATGTGGAAAAACAAAACCAAAAACTACGAGCTCTTGAGGATGGCTCTGCATATGGCAACTGCACACCCCACACCAGGTGCGGACCCGGCCAAGTGGATGCGCCCGATGTTTCTTTCGCGGCTCGCGCAGAGTCAGTCGCTCGTAGTCGATCGTGGTGGACCAGAATCTCGATCTGAAAAGCTTAGGGTCCTGGTAGATTCCCACGATTCCAGTCGCTGGTCGTCATAACATTGTGATAGTCATAGAGTGACCCTTGGGGATGATAGGGGGTAGTGAAGGCTCTCTAGTGAAGGCTCAATTTCCTTCGTTTCGCCCCCACAGTATGAACTGCCAAGGATGTGCAACCCTGAAAGGCACAACTTCCAATGTGGGTTACTGACTCTGGGATGGTCAAGTTTGCCAACAACCTGCAATTCAGAAAGGCGCAACTCCTGATGTGGACCACCGAGTCCGGGATGGTCAAGTTCGCCAGAGAACTGCAACCATCAAAGGCATGATGCCCTATGTGGGTCACTGAGTTCGGGATGGTCAGGTTCACCAAAGAGCTGCA